TGAGGAGGAAGGTTTGAGGGCGGTGCGGAGAGATACCGAGTCCTGCAGCAGGGCTGTGGTTGGGGGAGTTGAGTTTTCAAAGCTCAGTGAACACTCCAGGTGTATCCAGGGCAGGAGCCGGAGCGAGGCGACGTTCCAGCCCTGGCATGAAGCGGTTGTGTGGCGCAGAGGGACACCGCTGTGCTTTGGGGGGGGGGGTTGTACCCAAGCGTTTCTACCACAAGCACTCTGGGAGAGAGGAACCTGCTTTTCCCAGCTCCTTTGTACCCTTTGTCTGTCCGGTGCCCGTCGCTGTTCTCAACATTTCCAGATAATTTGGGGAAACGTGTTTGTGCTGCAGGTTTTTTGTACCCTGATGCAACTGTCATCTCGGCGTCACTTTAACAGGAGGCTCTTGCAAGGGGGTCAGGGAGGCGCTTGTGGCCCCCACCTCGTGTTAATAATTCTGGCTGCTGTTTAAATCCATGTTAATCTTGGAGCCCTGAAACGTAACCCCCCCCCCCCAACCCCCAGTACAAGTGTTTCTAGTGTCAGGTTGGTATAAACTTAACATGCTTAATTATTTGCTGCCGCTTCTCTGTATCATAGTGGAAATCATCTAGTTTGTTAGTGTGTCATGACACCAACGACTGCTTAAAATGTTTTGAAAGAAATGGAACTGAGAATTAACCCAGTGGCAGGAAATCTGTCAGTGTTCAAGTCCTGCAAGGACCGTGGTCGGCTCCACACGCCGCCTTGGGAGGTTTAATTGCTGCCTGGGACCTGGCGAGACAGAGGTTCCTGATTCCTTCCAGGAAGATGCTGTGTGAGGGAAGCTGTCTTTGATGTTTGCACAAGTCAAATGCCATAAATCTGGGAATCAAACCTTCATTTGGAAATCAAATGCCAACGTTACAGGCAGTTTTGTTGCCGAATGGGTAGATGCTGGGAATTTCTGGTGGGTTTCTGTATATGTGTGTATGTGTATAGAGGAAGCTCTTCTCTAGAATGGCTGTTCATTCTCCAGCGCTGCTGTCCTCTCTCCTCCCTTTCCCCCACAGCCCTGGGGGTGTTTTCTTGCAGTCTGTGAGCGCTGCCTTGTCACACCCTTCCAAAAATGTCACCATCTACTTAAATTCTGCGAGCTGCCCCTTGTCCCCATCCCCCCTGGCCGGAGCTGGGCTTTCCCCGCTCCCGCTTTCCTTTGGAGAAGGGAAGGGAAACCCAACGAGGTTTCTCTGGAACGACTGGGACTCGTGTGGGGTGTTTTAAACGTGGTCGTGGCTAGAGGTGTGATGACAGAACACGGTGATTTGAGGGGGTTTTTCCTTACTCTAGTTTTCACCACGTTGCACTCTCCATAGCGGGACTGGGTGAGCTCACAGGGCAAGGCCCAAACCGCGCTGTGGGCTTTGGATCACACCACGTCTGTGTACGTATGTATATATGCACATATGTATATATTGATACAACAGGTGTGCACCTAGTGCTTGCTGCTGGTTTTTTTTCTCTTTGGTGGTAAAAACGTGACATTTGGCTCAAAGCACTGCTAGGAACTCTCAGCCAGGCGAGC